AAAGATCTTAAATGATGTAAATAATCAAAAATGCAAAAACTAAAGTAGTAAAAGAAGAAATTTAAACGAATAAAAATTAAATCAAAAGATTTTACCAAAATCAGGTGACATAATTAACACTGTTTTTGCATAATTGTGCAATTTAACTGCCAATTTCGTCTCCTCACACACAGACCTTTGCGGTACCATGGCAGGAACCATGGGCAGGAGACGTTGACGGTGGTTCCTGGGAGTCCATCGGGCCAGCAGGCGTACAAATCAAAGGTCCTGTTACACACCAGCCCTGTAGCAGAGAGCACATGGGTAAATTCTGTGCTAAAAGACAGTCGTCAGGACTCACCTGGTTGAAATATGAGCTCATGCTGGGAGTAGAGGGCCTCACCTGTGGCAGGGGGCGTGGCGTCGAGGTAGTCCAGGCACTGGTTCCTGTAGCTGCTCCACTGCTCCTTCACAAGCTCCAGAGAGTTAGCAGAGGACACCTGCAGGAAGACGAAACTTCTGCAGCCGTTCCTTGTTTTGAAGGAGCAGTCAAGACAGAGTGCAATGTGCTAAAGACACGTTTAAGGCTGTGTGTGGGTGTGTGAAAGGAAAAAGAAGCTGAGAGTTGTACCTTTGTGCAGCTGCAGAGCATGAGCAAGGCCAAGAGGAGACACACCTGGGACATCCCACTGATACTGGGAGGATGGGGGTCGGTGGGGACCAGAACACAGAGGAGGACCAACGCATGAGGCAGGCACGGCCCTCTCCCCCCCGCAGCCTACACACACAACATGGAGAAGGTTGTTGAGTGTGTTTGTGCGTCGGTCAAGCTACACATTCTATGAAATTCTAAAAGGATCAAGAATCAATGAACAGAAAACAACAACAACAATCAGGAACGCTGACTGCTTCTCTTTCACGTTTTATAAAACGTTATATCTCCACGACGCCAGCATTTAAAGAAACAAAGACCATGGGTGTCAAACGCAAATTCACAGAGGGCCAAAACAAAACACTGGGATTAAGTCGCGGGCCAGAATCAGTATTTACTGAAAAGTTTATGACAATTGTGCATGTTTTCGTTTCTCCGATGATATATAATGATGCACTTTTTAATATGGAAACAAGCTTAAGTTTTGTTTAAACACTGAATCCAGAAGAAGCAAAGACTATATAAAGAAGAATATAAACACATGAGAAACCAAATATCAAATAAAAGATACATCAGTGGCATTCATTTCTTATTTTTATTTAAATCAATAAAATATTACAATTCTTATGCCTCTCTCTATCTGTGTATCATTCAAGTTTATTTTCAAGCACAAAACCAAAGATAAATAAATAAATCATTTAATGATAAAGAGAAAAACTGAAACATTTACATACATTTTCCAGAGGTGACTGGAAACATGAGGATGCTAATGAAGGTCAACAGAAAAGGGAGGGGATGCTTGCTGGTCTTCATTGATGTGATGTGTAATGAGCGGTGCATGCGCCATATACCAGCTCTAACAGATGTTTAATATTATCTCACGGACCAAATCTAATTCCACTGTGGGCCAGATTTGGCCCGCGGGCCTGAGTTTGACACCGAAAACCTAAAGGGTCACTGCTGATGTGACATGTTTTATTCATACAAAAGGTCACATTATTTCTCTGCGATATTATTCTGACGTGCCAAAAGAATCTGTGAGTTTTTTGCTGAACTGCAGGCAGTGTTTTAGTAGAACAATATCAACAGTCTGTAGAGCCAGGAAACACCGCGGGGCAGTTGGAGTAATGCTACACAATGCTGTTGTAAAGCAAATTGAGAAATCCTGGTTTCATTTTTCTTTTCTTTGCCTATGATTTATGGCATTATACCTGTGTCATGCTGTTACAAAAGACATATTTGTGTTCTCTTTTCTTCTGACTATGGTTGTGCTGTTAGCATAGAGGTACAGGACTTTATACTGCAGTTAGAAAATGGGCTTATGGTGAGTATATATGCCACAGTGGCAAAAAATTCAGTTCAGAGGGTTGCCCTACATGGGATTGCACATTAAAAGAACACAAAAAAAAACAGTCATCAATGCAAACCTGCTGTTTACTGAGCATACAGGACTGTTACATTTTTCGACTTGTTTCTCACAATGCATCAGTTATTGGAGCTCAGCATGTGATTAAAGAATGGGCTCAGAACAGGGAGGTCAGAGGAGGCTCAGCAGAAATCTGCAGACTCCTTGTCTACACTTACCCTCATGTATAGAATTACACATCTACAACGGTATTTCGACCGTTCTGAGTTAAATCTACAGCATGAAGTTCTTTGTGCGTGTTGATTTTCGTGACGTTCCTGTAGCAGCAGACCGTCTTCACCCACGCAGTTGGAGAACAAAACGAAATCTGAAACGTTTCTGCAAAAAACACCTTGACCATGGAAACATTTTTGGCTAAAACGTTTCAAATTCCATTCTATTCCAGTCTCTTTGCCTCTGTCCAAGTGCTCCTTCGGGCCATGTGTGTGTTTCTTTTATGTGTTTTATTGTACCTGGCAAAGATCTGAGCTGAGCATCAACAGCCTGTCATATTGTCACAGCACGCAGATTAGCAGCTTGATTTTAAAGGACTGCGGAGCAAACAGCGACACAGCAAAACTCCTGCTGTGTTTTCCTCCTTTTATCTCGCGGTGTTACGGTAATAATCTTCCACGTGCAGTTCAGAGCAGCAAAGGCGAACAAACAGAGGGACGGATGGACAGATGGACAGTTTACAAGCTCCTGAGGGGCAGATTTTCATGTAAGCTTCATGTTTGGTACACAATCTGGGAGATTAAGCTGCATCAGTGTTTGTAATGAAATATGCTAAAGAGTTTATCTGTGAATAATATGAATATGAATGAGAGGATGGGCAGCGATGGGCTTAGGTAATCCAGAAAGCTTATGTTGGCTCCAAAAACAAGTGTTTAATTGTGCCTCACTGTTATTGATTTGTGCCTCCCCCCCAAAGTTACATTTTAAAGGTCCCCTATTGTGCCCAGTTCATCAAATGAATCCACATCCCCACAGTGTGTCTTTCAGTTTTTCAGCTCAAAATGCTGCAAAGGTAACTTGTCTTACCTTGACTGTGTAACAATTTGTTTTATGAATGTTCTAAACAGGCCATTTTGTTCTGAAAGCCAATGAGCTGCGGTTGTTCCCGCCCCCTTCAGGAAGAATACGCTTGAAGACTATTGGTTGCTTAGAGTTGGTGTTACATAGCACCTGGTCAAATTCTTACTGGCTAACTAGTTGTGGGGGCTCCTTGAACATCTTCGTATCTTTTTTCTCGTAGTTTAATCGTAGCAACTGGACTTGCTTGAGTTTCTTGATGCTCCTATTAAACTATGAGAATAACCATGACCGGGATGACTGAGAATCTTCACAGACGTCTTCATATCTTTTATTTTACACCTTCAACTTTATGACAACTATAAAACACAGTAAAAAAATAATAAAAAATAAAAATATTTCCACCATATGGGCCCTTTAACCGATAAGTCTGGTGATGCCAGCCAATCAGAGGGCCACGAGTCAAAGCAGATGGAAAGAATGATTTCACAGTTCATTTTGTCCTTACTGGCAACAAACCCAATGAAAAGATCAACAATTAACCTTGTGTCCAAAACTTGTCATATCTTATTCCTTCGTGCCACAGAGCTCTGTTGTGCATGCCGACCTACACGCTACTTTTGATTATGAGCACTTTAATTCATCTTGAGTCTGTCCAACCAAATGTGTATTAATCCACCGCTGAAAACAGTCTCGAACAAAGGATTTGGAATAGTGACATCCTGCTGTTGGGGAATTAGTGAGGCTTTTCTAAAGGTGACACTAGATATTTGTCACACATTTTCAAACATTTACTTCTTTAGTGAGAAGCGGTGGATTTAGGATGATTAACTAACAAAGGCGTCAAAGTCAGAAGGCACCGAGAAACAAACAAACATTCTTGGTTTTGTTCTTTTCACGGATTTCTTGACAACGGCACAAACATACAGTAAGAGCCTCCGTTAAGCCGCTCTCATGAGAGGAAATGAGCTAACCGAGGACTTCTTCTCCTCCGCATTGGTTCTATGTCTCTAGTCACAGAGTTTTAACAGTGAAACATTACAGTGATATGACAGTTTGAGCACCTGTGGTCAAATTACATGTCTTGTTGATTTTTGTAGTGAAGAGAAAGAAATGCACCTCCTGCTACAAAGACAGATTAGAAATGAGTCTTTTTTTCAAATGCATTTTACTCTTTATTTCAGGTGTATTTGGTATCAGGGCTTACAAAAACACAGGTTTTTTTCTGTTAATATTTTAGAGCTTCTCACTCGCTTTTTCCTGGAGATCATTTTAAGTTTTAAGACACATTTAGTTCTTCTCTCTACCTGTAAAATGTTTCCTTTGCCAACTCTTGTCACACAACCCCAAACTTTGGCACACAATTTTAGATATTCCGACAGGCCGAATAAAATATTAATGCAGAGTAATAAGTGTTGGCATGAGCTGCTGTTAAAGAAAGCACTCTGGTATATTCCATTTTATTAGAATGTATAAGAAGAAAATCTATTTCACTCACTGTAAGACTCAATAAAATTCTAACCTGAACTCCATTATGAAGCCTTATGACTTACAAAAAGTCAATTTTATCTCTTCCTTTTTCTGATCTGCACATGGGTTGTGATTTCATCGCCTAACCTTTCTCATACTGTGGATACATGTAGAGATCTATATAGTAGAGGCCATTTAAGAGTATAAATATGCACAAGTGTGTATCAAGTATGCAAATGTGTGTCCTAATGTTCCTCCACTGGGCTGCAAAGTGGTTGTTTTTTTTTTCCCCAACCACAATACTGAGCAGAGGACAGTGTGTAATCACAGGGGACCATCGCAAACTGAGAGTCGTATTGACCACAAAGGCTGGTTTTACATTACAAACACACACACACACGCACACACATCAGAGCGCTATCTGAATGCATTTTCCAGCCTGTGTAAATCTTTGTTTCCAAGGTTGTGGCACTTCAGGTATAAGACCAATAATTAAATCCTGTTTTGCACTGCTTGTGGGGGAAATCTGCACAGCCCAGTTCCACAGACACAAAAAAGAGTAATAGCTACATAGCTACATTGGTCCACAGCACAAAACATACCACACACACACACACACACACACACACACACACACACACACACAAAGGTTGTAAAGCTGTGAGATGCTTGCAGTTTTTTAACCCAGTATCCACAAAATGACGATCCAATACAACCACACTACATTCCCAATTACATTTTTTAAGAAATGTATTTTCTGCTGCATTGCATGTGTTTGTAATGTATCCCAAATAAGTTTAGAATCAGTGTATTTATTGCCAAGTATTTTATTTATTTCTTATTTCAAACATTGAAATCCATGCCCCTGGTCAGTGATGAAGCGCGATCGGATACAGGCAGCCATACTTTCTGGAGATGAGCATCCGTACACATGTGCACACAGGTGCATTAAGCACATTATGCTTGATTGGGTAAATATGTACGCATGTGTCCCTGTGTGCTGCAGGCAGTGCGTATAATGAGGTTCATGTGCTGAAAATGTGTACTATTTATTTTATTAGTTTCTTTCTTCTTTTTTTTTTTTTTTTCAAATGTGTGAATGTGCTTTTGTGCTGTATTCTGTTCTTTCTTGCCTTGGTTGGTTTCATTCCCAAATTAAATTTAATTATTATTATTATTGTTATTATGATAAGAATGGCTAATAATATAGTTGGTGTTATTTTCTGTTGCTACAGGGAGGACAGGATTGTCAGGTACATACACAAGTTGTGAATAAAATGCTGTTACAAAAAACAGAACTTGTCACCCTACTGTCTGCTACTGTCTCTGTTGTGCTGTTTCTAGAACAGTTTCCCTGAGGTACCTTACCAAAGGGATCAATGAAGCTCTATCTAAACAGTCCAACCAGTTCAGCACATGCCCCAGTATATTCATGAC